CACAGAAAGGATTTCGTGGTCATTACACCGTAACTCGTCGAGTCCCAAGAACAACTCGTCGAGTCTATCCTTGATTAGTACTATACAGTCGATTTAAATGGGTCTTAACATCACAAAATCATAGATCTGGCCTCCTAAGGTCCATTTTATACGTAAAGTTTCCAACTTGGTGCACATACAAAGGGTCTTTGGCCCAAAAAGCCATAAAAGATGGCCTCCAAGGTGCATGGGGTGTTTATGGCAACAAACCCTCAGATTTAGGGTTTCACTCAACCAACACCTACTCGCTGAGTCAGTCTCCCGACTCGTCGAGTAGGTCACTTAAACTGTCCGCGGGTCACGACTCTACTCAACAATTTGGGCCTCCAACTCATCGAGTCCCAGAGAAAAACACAAAATACTTGAATAATAGGCATACTAGGAATTAGGTGTTACACTGTAGGTGTTTGTGAATGACGTGTTCACCAATGTACTCCATCCCCCTCATGGTTGCCTTACATACATATATGGCTAAGGAATCCCCTTAGCAGTAAAGTCCATCCCGATGATGATCCTTAGGCTAGGTCCCTTGTAATAGATTTTTAGGGACGTAAAGTGAGGATAACGAGAATGGCTAATCAGGGATATTGTTGGTTGATGAAATTAATAAATTTATTGTTGGTTGATAAAGTTAATAAATTTATTTATTGTGGGTTGAAAATCCCTATATGCTCACCAGACTCCCAAGCCTGACCCACTCAGCTTTCTATATTACAGGTAGTGAACAAGATCATAGTTGGATGGTGACAAGAGATTTTGGATTATATGCCAGTAGATGTAAATAACTGTTGTAAGGCCTATATTGTACAATTTATGTTTTTGGTCTGTATCGATGTGGACATCCCGAGTTTTGTAATGAAATGAAAATACATTTCTTTAAGAAATTCTTTGATAAATATTTTTTTTATCATATTTTGTTTTGGGTACAAATTCCGCAACACTTTTTGAAAGATTACTCTGATTTTATTTCAAAAGCATAAACGAAATCAGTCTTTTCTTGCCGAGAAAATGAGGATGTCACAAAATCTGTCTTTAGTTGAGAATTTTGGTTAACTAATTAGCCCTTTTTCTTTCTTGGTTATTCCTCGTATCATCACATCTGATTAGCAACAAATTGCCAAATGATAGTGTTGGATATGCCACAAGCAAGGTAAGGAGCAACTTTCCAGGCATACATAAGTAAAGGAAAGCTCTATGAAATCATCCATCCAACAACCCCATCATTCCATCTAGTCATGTAGTTGCTGCTTCGGGAATTATTGAATACTCATATAAGGAAGGTGAGATAATTCTTATGGTGAAGTTTGCAGGTAAATATTGAATATCAATGTGTAATAATTGGTTAAGTTTATGTTACAGTGAAGTTTGTATAAAACTTCTTTGGTGATCAGTTACATGATTGTTATAATTGGTGAAGTTTATGTTACAGTGAGGTTTGTAGAAAACTTCTCCGATGATCGATTGCATGATTGTTATCTATTCTACAGTTTGAAATTCTTTTGGAGATGTAAATACTTCATGTAAAATACCATCTGTTAGTGTTTTATCAACTGCATTTATGTGTTTTTAGTCATGACACATACAATCTTCCTTATTGATTCCAAATCTACACGTTTAACATTAACATGTACGTTTCCTAGCAAGGTCCTTTGGAGTTCTTGAGAATCATCTTGGTCAACAAAGTCATGGTTTCTGTTGGCCTATGGGTCTGTAAGATTTTCTTTCACATACTTATTTATTGTTATTTTTAGAATCTCATATACATGGGTATTAAATATGTAAAATCTCAATATTATCTCTTACATTTAATCTTTATTTTTTTTGTTAAATTTCATGTGGCAATTATTACACCTTTTAATTCCCCTTTTAGAGATGCCTCTACTCCAATTCATAGCAAGGTGGGTCATATTATTTATGACATAACTTAGATAAATTGACTTATGTTTATTGCTTTTTAGTATTCTTTCTTGATATTTTATAATCTCTTTAATTACTTTATGGTTCACATCACCTTGATTTGTGCCAAGAAAAATAAATAGAAAATAAAGGTGTTATAAAATGAGGATTTAGTTTTAATGCAAGTGTAAGTTAAGTAGTTAACCGAAAATCCTTTTCTTAGTTTAATCTAATACTTTTTTTTATGGACAAGTTAAATGTTTAATGAAAGTGATTATATATTCATATTTGTGCAGAGTCTACAGATTCAGAGAGGAATATAAACAACCTTTTTAATTTTTTTCCCTCCTTGTTACTTGGAATTCGATGTTTGCTACCGATTTAATGAATGCACACAACAATTTATTACAAGATAATAAAAATTTTAAAGGATTGAAAATTGCAACACGACATGTGACAACACATACTATTAAACTGTTAATTTCTGAGTGCGAATGTGGCGGTTTCATTGGGGTATCCTCTCAAAACATTGGTCAACTAAGAAACTCCTTTGCTGCAACAATTATTGTACTTGATCAAAATATGATGTTATTATGTGAATCTGCTCATGAATCTAGTTGAGGTATGCATGTAGTCATTTTTATAATATATTTTAGGTGATTTGGTTAAAATCTTTAAATTGATAGAATTTTTTTCTTCTTTTGTTATGAAAAGAGTAAATATTTGGAGATGTTGTTGCAGAGTTGAGAGGTCTGCCGGAGATCAAATGCAGCGTCTATTGGATGCCAGTTGAGGTTTGTTTTTTCGAGGATTACTTATTTTATTTTATTTTTTTAATCTTGGATGCCAGTTGAGGTTTGTGTTTTCGAGGATTATTTTTTTTTTAATTGAATGGATTTAGTTGTATTTAATTGATTTAATTTTATTTTTATATATGGTATATCTTGCGTCTTGCTTTTTGGGTTTTAATTAGCTTTTATTGCGTTTTTATTTTTATTTTTATAAATTTAAAAATTCATATATAGTGTCCATTACTGTTGTTTATGTTGAATTTACATTTTCAACTAAATATGTGACTTTGATTGAGGTAAACCAGATAAAGTGTTATGTTCATATTTTTGTTAAGTAAACAAATAATATATATATATATATATATATATATATATATATATATATATATATATATATATATATATATAATAATAATAATAATAATAATAATATTAAATGTAAGTAGGATGTTGTAATAAACAAACTTCAGAAATTATTGTGCTATTTCTCGCATTTAGGGGATGTTTAGATAGGAAAAAAAGCTAAGTTTAAGTGGTTCAATAAAATCCTTAAAAACCAGCTTATTGTTTTAGGAATAAGGTAAATAAGCTAATTTTAATAAGCATCTTTCCCTTGCTTATTGCTTATTGCTTATTCTCACCACAAATAAGCTAATCTAAGCACCCCTTTAACACTATATTTTTTTTTCTTATATCTTTCAAAATCCCGAGTTTCGGATGAAAAAAAAAACAAGAAAAAGTTTGAGGAAATGAGTGTTTCTTTTACCCATTTTTTGGGTGTTTTTATTTCTTTTTCCAGTACGATTTCAATTGGTATATGTTATGTAAGTAGAAATTAGGTTAATGTAATGTAACTCAATAAAATATTTATGCTCGTCTATTTCTTTGACGTATCCAACCATATAAAACGGGGATTCTTCCCTAGTTTAATGTAATCCGGTATTTAAATTTAATGAAAAACTTGTATTTAAAAAAAGGGATAATGGCTTAAAAGGGTAATATATTTTTCGATTTGTATACATTTGGTCACTGAGTTTTTTTCGTCCACATTTTCCCCTTCAACTTGTTAAACTGTACACATCTAGTCTTTATGAACGATTACTCTAGGTTAGTCGGAAAAAATAACTTAATAGGGTAATATATTTCTCATTTTGTAAACATTTAATCATTAATATTTTTGTACACATTTAGTCATTAATATTTTTTTTTGTTTCAAAATAAGTTATTTTTGTTTTTGTACTCATTCAGTACTTATGAATATGAGACAATCATTGATGAAGTGTGTGAGGTTGTTGATGTTTATGTGTAACGTTGCATTTTCACAACAATTTTTTTTTTCATTTCTAAATAAGACAAAAGTCACTAATTATAAATTTATTATTAATAAAAAACATTTATTCCAAAATACAGTTGTCGAAAATCAGAGTAATATAAGAAACACAGAATCCTCAATACTATTGATGAATGTGTACAATCATGCATTCGCCTTCCCACGATCAATGATAGAACATGAAAACATAATCAACTGGGCAAGCATAAAGTTTAGTGAGTTCCCCCAAAATACCAAATACAACAAATGCATTATCATGCATAACAGGCCCACACTGGCCAATTAGTCATAGGACTAGAATGCCAACATGCAACAGGTCCAATTAGCCATAAGATTAGAATACTCAGGGTTTGTCTGCATGTCGCCTTAACCCAACCGCTCTTCTCGAGCCTCCGTGTCTACGACTTATAGCCGACCCGCACCAGGTATCTTGGTCTACAACATATACCAGGGCTACTTTAACCTATCCCACCATAATATGACTATCCCATGTAAGATGTTGCGAGGAAAACCTAAATAAATCATTTATAAGTATTGAATGAGTACAAAAACAAAAATGACTTATTTTGCAAATATATATATATATATATATATATATATATATATATATATATATATATTAAGGACTAAATGTGTACAAAAATATTAATAACTAAATATATACAAAGTGAGAAATATATTACCTATTAAGTCATTTTTACTGGTTAAACCTGAAGTAGCCAACCATAAAGACTAAATATGTATAATTTAACAAATTGAAGGGGTAAATGTGGATGAAAAAAAATATCAGTGGTTAAATGTGTGCAAATCAAATAATATATTACCATTTAAGTCATTATCCCTTAAAAAATTAAATGATTTTTATTTATTTTTTATTTAAATTTAAATAAAAAAATAAAATAGAGTGATGATAAATGACACCTACCTATGTAGCGGTGAGAATAACCGAGTATAACGAAAAGAGAGTTCGATAAACGGTCGTCGTACCTGATCCCAATGAGTTTGTAACCCTAACTTTTCTAAATTGGGGATGAAGAATTGGGACCCGACCATCGAAACGTGATCATCACTCTACACAAAAAGGAGAAGCGGACGAGACGTCGAACAAAACCCCTGCACTCCAAAGAAACAAGCGTCACATTCGACAACACCTGCAGCTCCTGCCAACAAAACCCAGTTGAGATCTCCCCCAAAACCCTTTCTCACATAATACCAAGAAAATGGAATTGTGACAGCAAAATCAAAAGGGTTTTCTCGATTTTGTTGTTGGATGACGTCCCATAGCTGGAGGGATGCCTACAGTGGTATGTCCGCCGACAATATCAAGGGTTTGATTTTAGCATTGTCTTCAAGTTTGTTCATTGGTTCTAGCTTTATTATTAAGAAAAAAGGTCTCAAGAAAGCAGGCGCTTCTGGTATTAGGGCAGGTAATTACACCAGTTAAGCAAATCATTATCTTTAATTACGCACTTCTATTTATTGTGAGTTATTTGGGTTGACAAAATTTTCAGTTTCCAAGACTTACCATTTCAATTGGTGAGACTAAAATGGATGGTTCAATTCTTTTTATTCCCATGCCTCTTTGGTTGATCTTTATATTTGTGTTGTCAGTTGATATTTGGTTGTTCACCTTAATGGTAGTCTTTTAGATAGTGAAATTGATTTTAAATTTGAATAATAGAAAAAGGCTTAAATGCAAGAAATAACAACATATTTTTGTTTATTCGGTTACTATAAAATCCTATTTTCATCGCATTTTGAAAAATCTACATGGTTATAGTAATGCCATCCAAATAAAAGTTAATTTTCACTGCCATAAATGGTAGATTTTTTTCAAAGTATAACATCTTAATAATGCTATAATTGGTTTAGATTTTTTCAGAGTACAATGTCTTACTAAGAATATAAGATGCTACATGACACAAATAAATAGAAGTGCATTACTATTTCTTGCATTTAGGAGTAAGTAAAACAACTATTTCTTATGCTTAAACAAACTAATGTGCTAATTCAAAGTATTAAGCTATAAGGTGTTTTAGGATACATTTGCTTCTTCCTGCTTTATTAATATTTGCTACTGATAATGCTTTTATGATTTTACATACCAACAAATTTGACCTTTTTTTTTTCTTTCAGGAAGCGGAGGATATTCATACTTGTATGAGCCTTTATGGTGGGTAGGCATGATAACAAGTGAGTTTCTTATTTCATGTTGTTCTGAGGATATTATGATTTACCCTTTTTACTTGAAATCTTGATTCTTAATGTAAACACTAACCTTCATTCAAATTTTTTTATACAGTGGTTGTTGGAGAGGTTGCAAACTTTGCAGCCTATGCATTTGCACCAGCTATTTTGGTTACTCCTCTTGGGGCTCTCAGCATTATAATCAGGCATGTTTATAAAATATTTGAGATATCGAAAAAAAATTCTACAAATAAGGACAAATTTGTAAAATGTTAGGACTTAGGGGTTGTTTCTTTCTTTTCCGTAATGATATGTGTGTGGATAATGTGTTGTATACAACTATACATAATGTCTGCTTCTTTTCTAGACTGAAATCTGAATAAACAGTCTAAATGAGACTTAATGACCATTTTACCCTTCCATTTCGAAAAACATATTTCACAATATTTATCTATTTTAACTATTTAAGAATATGAATCAATTAAACATGAGAGGAGTGTCTTAATACATTACATTTACACCCATGTCTTTTGGCCTAACCCATTAAGCTCATTAAGTCAAATAATAAACAACCCCTTAACTTATTTCCTAAACTTTCTCTATTAACTTGTTCTTTCTGCATTAGTAAAAAAGAAACACCTAGTCACTTACATATAAGCTTACCTATGTCATATTGCAGTGCTGTACTTGCACATATAATTTTACGAGAAAAACTGCATATTTTTGGAGTTCTTGGTTGTGCTCTATGTGTTGTGGGGTCCATTACAATCGTTCTACATGCTCCTCAAGAACGTGCAATTGAATCAGTCACAGAGGTATGGGATCTTGCTACAGAGCCAGGTAACAATCTTTTTTTTTTTTTTATTTAATTTAATTTTGGGGCTAAAATCTAAATGCACATTTATGCAAACAACTTTTCACATTTTTCCCACTTTCATTTTGCAGCTTTTGTTTTGTATGGGGTGCTGGTGTTAGTAGCTGTTTTTATACTTGTCTTATATTATATCCCATTATATGGTCATACACATGTACTGTGCTACATTGGAGTTTGTTCTCTAGTAGGTTCTTTGTCGGTATGTAACTTTCTTATTTCTTTTTTTTAGTTTATTCTCTTAATCTTTGTGTCTGAATATATATAAGGTTTTTTTTTTGTTTGTTTCACAGGTAATGAGTGTTAAAGGTCTTGGTATTGCTTTGAAGCTTACTTTTTCAGGAACAAATCAATTAGTTTATCCTCAGACATGGGCTTTTACCTTCTTTGTTCTGCTTTGTATCATTACTCAAATGAATTATTTGAACAAGGTATTGTATTAAGTTGTTCTTTTTACATTAAGTCAAAGAAAAAATTCATACTGAGTGCATGTTTTTTGGGTGCAATATTGACTACAGGCTCTTGACACCTTCAACACGGCTGTTGTGTCTCCCATATACTATGTTATGTTCACGTCTCTTACTATCTTGGCAAGTGTGATCATGTTCAAGGTAATTCTTTGTCAAAATAATCAACTACATTTGTGTTTTTCTTTGCACAAGTATTTGTTTATCCATTAAGTGGTATCTAGATAAATGATATGTTTAAGAGCATTTTTAAGTTTGATTATTTGAACAGGATTGGGATGGGCAAGATCCTACACAAATTATCACAGAACTTTGTGGGTTTGTGACAATTCTTTCTGGAACTTTTCTTCTTCATAAAACCAAAGACATGGTTGATGGTATTCTTCTTTACCTTTTTCATCACCTTCATATTCTTTCTAATACAAAATTTTATGGCACCGGACTGGACTAGCTTTCTAGTGCTATTTTGTAGAGAGTGGGTCCCTGTCAGTGTCAGTGTCAGTGTCAGTGTCACTCTGCATCACTCTGTATGTGCAAAGCATTTACATCTTGTGTATCAATGACAGGTCCAGTGAGAGTCTCCAAGCACATGGATGAGGAAGATGGTATGTATAATGAAGGCATCCCTTTGAGGACGAGTAATATGAATATGAGGCTAACATGATGTGTTTTTTTTAGCAAACCACATTGTATTTTTACTTTTGGCCTTTTCATTAGCTAGTGGAAATCGATTTTGTTAACTTTAATCATGTTTGTTAGTTAATTATATCTGTCATATAAATTCAGCATGTTGATTATAGAAAATGCACCTCCTTTTCTATTATGTAATATGTATGGTGTTCATAAGTGACATTTCTGTTGACCTTGATGTATGTCAGTTATCAAGTTTGCTAAAAAAATCATATCCTAATAACAAGACCATATTTATAATGATAAAATTTATTAAATATTCTTTTGCGAATAGTTATAATATTATTTGAGTAAATTGTATATTGATGATTTTTTTATTTTATTTTATTTTTTTTTATATATTTGTAAGGATTAATTACCAAGAGTAATAATGTTCAAGAAATAGTATATAAGTGTTGACTTGGTTGTTATATGCGATATCCATAAACAAAACGAACAAAAATTGCAAACGAAATTTGAGTTTTGGATTTGAGACAACAAAAATTTGAAAGTTATGAATGTCAGGAGTTAAATATAAATTCCCCAGAGATGAGGGACAAATTTGCAATTTTGGATATAGCCTGATAGGTGCTGGAATTTGTGTGTTTTGACCGACTAAAGAGTAGAAATGATATACTATAGGGACCAATACATTAAATTTCTCATTTAGGGACTAAACCTGTTACAAACGATAGAATATAGGGACCAAGTCATTAAAAGTTCGGCATATGAAACGTAACCTGCTTGGTGCTGGAGGAATCAATTTCTTCTCTCTCACGCGCACGAAACAAAGAGTAAATTCAGTAATGGAAAACATCGGCCCCTTGATCAGAGGCTACCTCACGAAGCTAAAGCAAGCATCGGTGTTGTGGGTCGAAGGTTTTCGAGAAGCTTGCTGTCTCCACAGAGTCGTCATCTACTGTCTCAGGTTCTCTAATTTTATTTCCACTTTTACAGAAGTTGCTTCTTCAATTTCGACCTTTTGTTTTAATTTTTTTGTTCGCTTCTGAAGGTCGAGGCAACTGATGATTCGAACCGGACAGTGCTTTCTCTTAAACGGTTTTATCTTTTTAGGGAGGTAATATCTTGCTCTGTTAATTTGTGCTGATGATTCCGAATACTTGTAACTATTGTAAAATTGAGTTGATTGAAGTAAAACGATCCTACCTATGTTCCTGAAAGAGTTACTATTGGATATTTGGAGGTCGTTAGTTAACGTTTTTAACTTCAAAATTGACTAGAATTAGTTTGTCTGCGTAGATCACATTGATAATTATGTCTGATTATATAAAGAACATTACGATTGCGGAAATCTATGCCAAATTTGAACCTCAAAATTGTTTAGGTTTGAATCTATAATCGTGTAGAATTCACAGTACTTAAATAATCATAGCAATGCCATCCAACTACAAAGCAATTTTCACTTCTATAACCTAGTAATCTAGTATCAAAGTACAATGCTATAATTGGGGAATTTTTTCAAAGTAGAATGCGTAATGGGAGAAAGTGCAAGTAAAATGTTGGAATCGAAACAAATGAAATTAAGATGCTACAATAAACAAATAAAGGAAAGTGCGATGCTATTTGTAGCATTTAGCCCTAAAAATAAATTATTTGTTTATGAGTTTCCTGATGCATAATGTTCAACTGTTACTAAGTTGCAATTCTCATTCGACCTTATACTCTATATGGTGATCTAAACTTGTATTATTTGCAGTATTTTCATTCTAAGATCTCTTATCATTCCAACACTACAATGGATACTACCCTTTGGAGTCTCGGATGTTGAACAAGATCTATGCTTCTCGCATATGCCTATAAGATTGTATGCCTTCTTACGACTTGGACTCTTACAACTTATTTATGTGAGTATACAATAGGAAACTTGGTTAATTTATGTGTACATTGTCTTCGGTTAACATCTTTGATCTAAAGATGCCTACTTTTAACAATCATCGAGAATTAATTCTTGAAATGTGAGTTGCCAATTTGCCATGATGCCTACAATCTCAAAATGCTAAATATGTTTGTTCTCAAGTCTCCAGATTTCCTTTGTACCCAGTGAACCCCATCTGCTTGAGAGATTTGACCTGTTTGACTTCTCTGTCGTTTGAAGTAGATGTTTTGTGATTTTGAAATGCTGCAAATGCCATGAATAGCATTACTGATGAGTTGATATGATTTTGGTTGTGAACAGGGTCTATGGTTCTACCCTTTGTACATATTCAGCTTCATTTTAAGCACTATCTGGTACATTTTTTATTTATAATGAGTGTTAAATACAGCATTTTCCACCCACATACATAATAAATAACAATCGATTTTGATTAATTATACTGCTTATATCTAGGTACAACGATATTGCTCAGTTTGGTCTTACAGTGACTGAAACACCTAGATCAACCAATCCAACTCCATCTAACAATAACAAAAAAGAGGCATCAACTTCAGAAAATACAACACAAACACATACACATGTTGATAAACCAACTGACCTTGGCCGGTAAAAAAAAAAAAAAAACTTTTTGGAGTTGCTGATTTAGTTGCCATAACCATAAATAACATCATACTTATTTTCAGGGTCATGATAGGAATAGCTGAACAAGGCTATTCACTCCTCCTATTGACCTTTTTCTTTCTCGAGGTATATACATATATATCATATTTCATATTTCATTGTTGTTTTTAAGTAATAGATAGATAGCCTTTGGTAATTATATAACAGGTTTACCTCACGGGTTTGGTGCCTTATATTGGGAAGGCACTTAATTTCATACTTCTTTCGTGGATGTATGCCTACTACTGCTTTGAGTAAGTGGCATGGCTGATGGCTTCCTTTTTTTTTTTTTTTTTTTTTTAAATATTGTGGCTTCTCATTTGATATTTTTATAGGTACAAATGGAACTTCTCTGGTTTGAGTTTGGATAAAAGGCTTGACTTTTTTGAGTCAAACTGGGCGTTCTTTGCTGGTTTTGGTGATTTTTCTTTTTATTTTTCACTTACTTGCATCTGCATCTGGATATCAGTTATTTAAAATATGAAAAATGTACTTTCAGGATCTCCTTGCGTTTTGGCTATTTTCTTCTTTTCTCCTTTAGTAAGTTATGGTGTAATGGCTGTACTCTTTCCAATGGTAAATGCTCAAAAACCTTTAATCAAACTCATACTATTTACTATATCAGAAATACAATTTCAAGATAGTTATTTCTTCACTCGTTTCTTAATATTATAACGACACTTAATTGTTCGTGTCTCAGTTTGTTCTGACTGCAGCAGGCTCAGATGCTGAGAGCGTGGTCAACTCTCAAAAAATGAAATGGAGGGGTCAAGAATTGGGAAAGCTTCCGATATTTTATGTTGCGGATAAGTTATTGTAAGAAATCTATTTATTTCCCCAAAAAAAAAAAAAAATTATGTTAAGCTAAAATTTGTCTTAAATAATATGTTTTTTTTTTTTATAGGATGCGAATCTTATCTCTTCTTCCTGTGGAACCTCAAGGACAAACATCCGACAAGAAAGCACTCTGAAACCAACACGCTGACCCTAAGTAGTACTTGGAAAGCTACATTGTACAAAGATCAATTTTACTTGTTTTATGGTTGCAATCATTAAATTAATTAGTTTGTGTGTAGTTTCAAGTTTTTTATATGTTCATTAATTCATTTTTCTAGGATTCCAAAAAAAAAAAAAAAATCATTGGTTTTTCACTTTTTTGATTAGTTCTTCTAAACGCACACTCAAACACGCAACTTTGGAGTTTCGTTTTTCACTCATAATACAGGGGGTATTTATTGTAAAAATGAAGCTAGAGGGTAGTTGTATGTCTATGCATGAAACCACAAGGCCTTTGTATGCGATTAGCTCTTGGCATCTTCATTAAGAACATCAGTCAATAATGAATTAAGGGTGAAAATCAAGTGAATCATAGGTTTTTTTTTTTTTTTTTTTTTTTTTTTTTTTTTTTTTTTTTTTTTTTTAAATACCGATTGGAAAATCTTTTTATCCATTTTAGTAGGTTTTCCTTCCTAGTCACGCGCCAAGTAAGCAGGTGAGTGAACCCGTTGAATCAATACTGAGTTGACTTGATGACACACATGCATAAGATTAATTACTGCCTTTAATTTCTACCGACATCCCGCCAACCCTTATAGTCGATTGAGTTCCAGGATTAAGTCTATGTATTAAATGGGGACACACCCATGTGGGGTTTGATGTAAAACAACCCTGAAACTTGTTTACCATATTTGGCCAAACACTTATCGATAAGAACCCTTAAAAAGCAACAATGTCGGCTCTACCACCTTCACCCGACTCTTTAAATTCTGGTGAAGACATCAACTACCATGTGCTCCATTCAATCTTCTGTGAATGGGGTCAGAAGATTGCAGATAACCATGTGCTCTAGGATTAGGTCTGTGTATTAAACGGGGACATACCCATGTGGGATTTGATGTAAAACAACCCTGCAATTTGTTTACCATATTTGGCTAAACACTCATCGATAAGAACCTTTAAAAAGAAACAATGTCGGCTCGACCACCTTCACTCGACTCTTTAAATTCTGGTGAAGACATCAACTACCATGTGCTCCATTCAATCTCCTGTGAATGTAGTCAAACGATTGCAGATAACCAATCTAAAATGCAATGGTTGAAGGAGCAACTCGGACAAGACTATATCGTGTGCATGATCGACCACATCAGTCTCCAACATAAGTTGGATAACCATGATCAGAAGTTTAAAGTTGTTGGTGTTGCGATGGATGGCATAATGGTGGGATGCTCGTGTGGCTGGTGGTTGTGCTCCATTTCGTTGTTAAGCTAGGGTGATGGGTGAATTTGAAGCAATGGTGGTTACGAAGCATATTAGTATGTAGATTTTGTGTTTTTATTTTTATATTTGCTTTTTTGGCGATATATGTAAAAGATGTGTCTCTATGACAAATATTTTGTAAGTGAACCCCACTGATGAATCAAAGACCAGTCTTCATAACAAGCGTTTTCTAAGTTACATGTTTTTTGTTCATTGCATATAATCATATTTTCTAATTTTTATCTAGATTTTTTTTGTTGAAAGTGCATTAGAAATGGGAAGAAGGAAGAAGTGGGGATGTTAGTGACCCCACGTGCCTTGCACAGTGGGGGTAATTAGTCTTTTCCACATACTAGCAATCAATTAAAAGTTTCTTCTATACCTACTTGTTTCATTCCTGCATATTGTTTTCTTCTTCAAATACTCTCCACTGTGAAGCTACATAATG